ATTGTGAGTATTACTCCAATTACCCATACTCACGTTTGACATTGGAAATTGTGAGTACTACTCAGTATACCCATACCCACATTGCTAAAACAGTGTGTCAGTACCACGCCCTGTTCCATACTAGCATAGGCTACTGAGTATAGCCTACGACGACCCGTACATTCCATTCAGCTATCTGCTAGTCGACAGGCTTTGTGTAATGGTGTCACACTCTTTTCCAAGGAGGGCTCATCCATCCAGATCCGTGTTGTCAATAACGATTGGTTGGCGTTTCATCGAAAGAACCAATTGTTGAGACACCTCTCAAATTTGGAGTCTTAGGCCTTAAATCTCACGCCCACAGCACGCCTCTTGTAAAGGATGTCACTTTATTGCGCTAGAGTACTCGTCCGGAGTTACTGAGTACTGTATTTGAGATATCTACGGCTACCATGGTAACAGTACCGAGGAGATAGAGGGGGGTGCAATTTACTAGTATGCATAACGTCATTTCATGAGCTTTTCATGTACTGATCCTGCGTTCCTTGCAGCACTGGCTTTAAAGCCTGGTATCACGGGCTTTCCCATAATTGGGACCAGCCAGTAAGCAACTCTTGAATCCTGCTGGAACATTGAGTGGATGTAACATGGTAGCTGATCGATGATGAGAGGCAGAAGGGTAGTGGTCACCGAGCCATTAATTTCTCAGAAGAGAGAGGAGGGGTGGTGAATGTATATAAATAGAATGATCGACTGGTACGGATAATAGTAAGCCGTCAGCCTTTTTGAGGCCATATTGACTCAACAAACAAAAAGGCAGTGTAGGAGACGCTGCGAATTCCTATTAATTGGAGTATTAGTGGTTTAGGTATGCAGTAATTCCGAAGGACAAGAGTATCCTTGTCTGCTTCAAAGTCCTATTGGTTTTCAACAATGCGTCTCGCGACCCTAGAGTCTCCGATTTACCCGCTACCCATGGTACCGCTGATGATGACCGTTGAGGTGCCCAATCCCCCATCGAATGCTATTCTGCCACCCTTTTAATGCACCGCTTGGAACAGTTTCGGGTGATTCCGGAAACGCCCACGTCTCTGCACAACTCAACTAGGAGAAAGAAACCCAAACCAAGCACAAAGAGCACAACTCACGGTACGCAAAGGTTCTGCGGAATGAATGATGAGTCAATCTCAGTTCGATCCCCCTACCTAAAAAATCAATTTAATTGCTATCGACATGCGACAAGTGTGTAGCATTGTTTATCCATTCGATTTTACCATACAGTTGCCCGTTACGAGACCCATGTCCTCCTTCCCCACCCCCTCAAACCGTCTTCTACCACCTTCCACCGTATGTTTTAACCACTTGTTTACCATTTGTTAGCCGCATGTTTACCATCTTTGCAGAATAAACAACAATATCACAACCCAATCGGTCTAATAAAGATTCACACCATCTCTCGCAAAACGACATCAACAACAGCGTATTACACACCAAACCCGCCCCGACCAACGAAATCATCCAAGGCAGCCTCGGCGAGCTCTAGCTGTACCGTACCGTACTCTAACGACCATGAAGATCGTCAACAGTCTACGCTTCCTTCTTGTCGGACTTGTGGGTGTCGCGACGGCTTCCCCTGCCAGCGATGTCGAAACAGGCTCCCACCATCCAGCCTCCAAGGAGCACGGGTACCACGGTACAGGGACCGGCTGCCGCGACGAATGGACCGGGACCGACAGGACCACATATGTCGGATCGATCAAATTCAAATCAAAGCTCGTGCGCGACTACGGACAAGACCAGGACGCGACACCACCCGAAAGACCCTGCATTTGAGACAGATGGCGCTCCTACCGGGCCCCGCATTCAGCATCACCTTCCCCTCTACTTCCTCCAATTGCCCATTGCACCCCCCCCCATGCTCCCGTCCTTTCTGCTCTCCCAGTGCAACCCACCACCGCAGCGGCTGCTCTGCCTAGCTTACCCGCTTTCACACCCTTGATCCTTGCTTATAATTCCTACGTCATACCGCTCACATGGACTGTAACTTTGTGTTTCATCGCATCGTGCGCTGTTATGGTATTTCACCTTGTGATCTCCACGAGTTAGACCTTAGTCTTGCCGTGTACTGTGTAGCTTGCGTACACCTATTGTATCTATTTCTACCTGGCGAGTGATGCCGTCAGTAACAGCGAGGCGGAATCCAAAGGAATGCTATAGCTTGCTGCAAGAGTTTCTGATGAATTGAGGCAGCGCGATATACTATGTCACACACACTTTGCCAAGGGGAGATTGTGAGGGGCAGGGTTTCAAACTTACTATACCCAGCTTTTACTTCCTTGACCCTCGCGCTATATTGATTGTGCTCACTGTGCTTGTACCTTTGATTCTTTTTGTACAATCCTATTTTGGTTAATCTTTTTAAAGGATCACATCCTAGACACGGATCCATTTGTGGCAAGCTGCCTTTGTTTCCATTTGGAAGAGTATAGGATGGATACAGCAATGGTTTCTCTCTCTTATTATAAAAAAAAGGGCCCATAAGTTGTAACCTATAACCTTTTTCAATTCTAACCCAGAGTTGGAAATTACACGAATGGCATAGAAAAAACACTCAACCGGCGTACCGGTAATTGAAGTAATCTCCGCTCTAAACCATGACTTTTGGATTTGCACAACTGGAGTCTACCGGCTCGAAAAAACCTCGTACTGCCTAAGCATAGAGAGATCGATATCACTACTTAGAATAGGAGATCTTGTAGAGTGACCGCGGGGAATATGTGGTAACTGCCCACCCGTCAGCGAGATCAAACTGCTATAACGATCATTCAAGACATGATTAATTTCCCTCCCAAGGTAAATGCAAAGAGCCGCTTTCAACGCTTCTCTCAGTATTCACTAATCTGCTTAATACTCCCGATCTTTTGCAGAGCTCGCTCGCGTGGTCTGATGGGCATATCTGGGGGGTAGGGGGGGAAATATATTTGCTGTCTCATGCATGCAAGATAATATTAGGCCCAGACGTTGGTATGTTTTTCCTTTCTGGTGATAGTCTCGATATCTTTACATCGTGCGAAGAGCCCTTCTCTTGGTGTTTCTCCTTCTGGGGGAGTGCAAATATTTTGCTCGGGGTAGTTTTTGGTGGATACGGAGCCAGTCAAACGTAAGACTTGCTGGTATTTTGGCTGGGAGATTATTTGGCTTCGGTTGCCGCTTGGCAAATCTGCGTTCTTTCTACTCTCTTTGTGTCGGCCAATACTTTCCAATTTACCGTGTCCTTTTTTGGTTTCGTTGTGAGAAGTGTTCTGTTGCCAGGGCATAAACCTTCTGTTGGGCACACAGTATCATCCTGCTCTCATCGTACGTTGAGCTACTAAATCACAAACCATGTACCACCCCAGCACTCCAATATTCACTGATACTCTTGAGTTGTTACAGCAGAGCGCAACTCTTCTCTTTACCCTGTCACCGTCTCTGTCCACTTTCGCCCTCGAGGTGTTGAATTCTGGACTGAGTCGAGTCTTGACCTGAGACTCGGTACCCTTGTCTTACCGCACCTTGGTATTCTCCTGAACGTCAAACAGCTAGGTGCTTCGCATAGGCCATTTTACCGATTGTATAGTCCCAGTAGATTGTGAACTGTGAACGAATATTTCTTGCAAGTGTCCTGTTAGTAGTCTCAGGGATATGATTGAATCTGCAAGATACTTGCAAGCAACGGTTCCTGGGAAATTTTGGACCTATACCAGGGGCGTGCAATGCTAGTGATCAAGTCGACTTATCCCATTGTTGGCTACATTTAAAGGCAGAATCGGAAAAAACTGCGTGGTCTAGAGGTGTGGAATATGTGGATGACAAACCGGCATCGGAGAGCTGAAGGTCTGCCCAGTGTGTGTTGACTACCGTCGTCTCGTATGTCTTCCGAACTGCCGAACACTTCCATGAAAAGCATGGTCCGGGATCGATCTCTATCTGCCTCACTTCCTCTCTTCTTCTCTCACTTCCTTCTTAATGTCTCTCTCATCGAACCGCTCTTTTTGCACAAAAAACCCACTTTCAATGCAATGCTTTTTAGACGCAATGATTACGGCCCACACTTGCACAACTCTGGAAATAAATCAGAAGTGGGAGAGCCGATAACAAAGGCAGGACCCAAGTCCTCGCAGATGATAATGTCTTGATGTACATCCGGCTGAATAAACCCGCACATGTGAAGAGTGGTGACCAGTACTCCTAGGTTTGAGTATTACTCACATTTTCAAGGGTCAGGTGAGTATGGGTACTGAGTATACTCAGTACTCAATACCCGTACTCACATCGAGTACACGCAGCGTGTATTTCATGTGAGTCCCACACCCTGGTATGGAAACACTCCCAAGAGAAGATCTCGAAACTCGAACCTGGACGCTCAACCATCGTGGGTACTAGCTAGCTAGCTAGTACCCGTACTCACATGACCTCCACAATTCTGAGTACTACTCAGTATGTATCCGTACTCACATGCTAAAACAGTGTGAGTACCACACCCTGCTAAGAACTGATGTCAGTCCTCTAGGAATTACAGTAAGTAGGGGAATTACCATCCCTGTGTACTGTACCGGTACTATTATTAGGGGGGTTTTAGAGTAGGGAAATTATCTACGGAAGCCAGCCAGGGCCAGGCTTAAGCAAAGAACAGTACTATTATAATTGACACCTCGAAAGGAGTGGTAGACTGCTAGCCAGGTATGGTATGCCTGGCCCAACCTCGAATGCATGCACCCTTATGCACCCTTGGACGGAAACACTCCCAAGAGAAAGTCTCGAAAATGAAGGCAGTCGACCATCGAAATGTGTACCATCTCGAGCCGTAGCTGCCCTGGTGGCAGAATGAACAACAATACTCACAATCCCAATCGGTCATAATAAAGATTTGCAGATCTTTCAAAACGACAACAACAACAGCGTTTGACCCGAACCAAACGAAAATCATCACAGCTACCTCCGGCGAGCTCTAGCTGATACCGTACCGTACTCTAACGACCATGAAGATCGTCAACAGTCTACGCTTCCTTCTTGTCGGACTTGTGGGTGTCGCGACGGCTTCCCCTGCCAGCGATGTCGAAACAGGCTCCCACCATCCATCCTCCAAGGTAAGCTACTGGTACACTGGTACAGTTATACGCGTTCTGGCCGCGACGAGATGTGGACCGGTACCGTACATGTACCACATTGGATCGGATCGAATCAAATCAAATCAAATCTGTTTGCTCTACTGTACGGTACGAATACCATACGGTGCGACGACCGAATGGAGGACAATGCTCCCCTGGTGGACCGCCGTATTGGTACGAGCTACCGTATCACGAACGCTGTAGTACCGGTACGGTATATCCATGGCCTTGAGACCACCTTCCGGCAAGAGATCAGTTCGAGCATACATGCCTGATCATGTTGATTGACAGCCCATATCAGTCTCACACAATCATTATTGGTTGATTACATACAGCTTAGTCTGACTCCCTATCTTGATTCCCTCTCTTGATTCTTTTTACCTATTAGGTCAACCTGACTGATCTGTCTTCCTTGAAATTGAAGGGAGGAGAAGCAGTCCAAGATGAACAAGGACACAAAGAGGAGGAACTCCCAACCATTGCTGAGCTGGTCGAAAACCAGAAGGCATCGATCCAAGTTGACCGCGAGGTGAATTTGGTAAGCCCACCATCGCTAGACTATGCTAATGATCCCTTGGCCAGCCGCAACCTCAACGCCTTATTACTCCTATCTCTTGTGCAGAGGCATCGCCTCCTGAGCGGGGCAGGGCAAATCCGACCAGTCTTTGGGAATAATGGCAAATGTAGGTTCCGTCGTTTAGTTTAGTTCTTTCCTCGGATGAGCTCCTCTCTTTGTTGTTTCTCCTCTGGGAGTGCAATATTGTGCTGTGGCAAGGACTCTTCTGATGTTGTTTCTGTCCTTCCGTCTCTTCTATTCCCATAGGGTAAGGCATAACTCTGTGCACACAAAACCATATACGTCAACATCCAACTGCCCAATCTTACACATGCCACTCTCTCTTCTCCTCTTCTTGACGGGTCTTGAATTGCAGTGTTGACAGGGACACCAGTAGTGGCGGCAATAATAACATTTATCTCGGTAATTGCCACACAGGCAGCAATCAAAAGTTCACCTATGATTCCAGCACAAAGCAAATCAAGGTCGACGGGAAATGTTTGGATGACAAAGGCAGTGGAGGTATGTGAGCTGCCCAGTTGTGCCGAACGTCCGTCCATGAAAAGCGCGATCGATCTCTATCTGCTCACTCACTCTCTCTCTCTCACTCTCTCTAACTCTCTCTCTCGAACTCTCTCTTGCACAAACCCACTTCAATGCAATGCTTTTTTAGACCGCAATGTATACGCCCACACTTGTCACAATGGAAATAATCAGAAGTGGAGGACCGATAACAAGGGCAGGATCCAAGTCCTCTCAGATTATAAATGTCTTGATGTTACATCCGGCAGAAACCTCTACATGAGAGGTTGTTGTGATAACTGTGAGGGACAACGCTGGTATGTTCCTCAGCATTTCCCGACTACCAAGAGCGAGATCCATCCTGTCCTTAGCTCAGCCGCGTGTGAGTTTTGCATGATGGTTATTTGTTGTGCGCCATTGAGTTCCATGGCCAAATTTATTCTAACTTCTCGTATGCTTTCTCCTTTGGTCACCCATGCAGGCTGGGATGTTGGTACGTAGGAGTTCGCGGAGGTGTGTGGCAACGAAAGGACCTCATGTCCCTCACAACGTTGATGAACACACTCTTGACCTCTCTTGTTTGTTAGGTGGCACGGATAAGAATTTGTATGTCAACGGGAATTGCCACAATGGAGACAACCAGCAGTTTTACTATTCCCCTTATTCCGAGAGCATCTTTCTGCCCTTGGCGGATGGGTACGTATGATGCAGAAAGCCTTCCACCGAAGATGCCAAACCTGGTTCCTCAGAGTAGTAGCTGACAGGTTCTTTATTTCCATCCCTCTTTCTCATCTCAAAAGTTCGGGATGCTTAGATGAGAACGGTAGCACTGGCAATGTGTATGCCTTTCGATGCCATCATGGCAACAACCAAAAATGGTAAAGCTTGTTGGTGGGTTCTTGGGCAATACATAAGCAACAACACAAAACCTCTCATCCTTTATCCTGTGCTCATTCTCTCCTGTCCTACCTCACAGGTGGATGGATTCCTATGGCAGGATCCGTAATCGCCATGACACCAGCCGTTGCATGGAACAGCATAGTTCGGGCAACAACCTGAGAATGGTTGGGTGCAACGACAATGACAATCAGAGATTCATTGTTCCGCATGAAACATTTCCCGTTGCTGCTAGTCAGGTAAGCTGTGCTGGATATTATGTGAAGCTGCGTGGTTGTAGCCTCATCACTGATTAACAATGTACATGACATCGTTACAACCAAAATTCCACACAGGTGAAGCCTTTCTACGATCTTGGTAAATGTAAGTTGCAGCGGCCAAGAGCTCACAGACAAGATCTGTGTCTTCCTCACCAACACCTCTTGCTTTTTAAAAAACAACAGGCTGGGATAGTGGAACAAACAAGAATCTGTACCTGGCATCAAGCTGTAGCAGTGGTAATTTCCACCAGCAGTTCTACTTCATGGCTCAATCGGAGCGCATCTACGATGCCTATGGTACGTCAAAGACATCTCTGCTGCTGTGCTTTTCTGAGTCCATGACATTCTCAAACTTCTCCCAGGTAATGGATGTCTGGATGATGACGGAAGTAGTGCTAGAAATGTCTATTCACACAGATGCCATGGGTAGGTTCACAGTTGTCATATATCGCTCTGCACATTTGCCTGAATGAGAATCTGTGAGCTCTAAACAAAGCTACAATCCTTCTTATGTATACTTGTCGCAGTGGAAGCAACCAAAAGTGGTATGCTGACAGTCTTGGAAGACTTCGAGGCAGAAAGGATAACAAGTGCCTGACTATTGACAGCAACAACCTAGTCATGAAAGATTGCAATGACTCGATTTACCAACGATTTGTTGTCCCAGCATCCTTCCCAAGGGTTACAAGCCCAGTAAAGAGCGTGTTCAACACTGGTCTCTGTAAGGCTCCCTTTCTTGTTGTGCTGTTTCCAGGGATGGAAAGACTATTACTAAAACTTACATTTTGTGATTTTGCTGCTCCCATACAGGCCTCGCTGCGATGTCTGACAGGAAAGTTATGGCGCGCTCTTGTCGGGGAGACAAGGATGAGGATTTCTTTTATGTTCCAGACTCTCAGCGGATCTTTGTAGCTTCAGGTCAAGGGTATGAACGGAACCAGTGTGACTTGATCATGCTTGCTGATGTTGAACTATCCTCTCAACGGACTGCCTCCTTGCCTGGTCTACCCTTAGGTGTCTTGATCCCACTGTCAACAACAATGTAATTGTACATCCATGCCATGGCCAAAACAACCAAAAATGGTATATGGACGACCGTGGCAGGATTCGTGACAAGCAATACCATCACTGCCTTACTCGGGCCTCAAATAACAACTTGGAACACAGGGGCTGTGATGATAAGGACAGTCAGAGGCTTGTCCTTCCAGAGAGTTTTCCTGTGAGCACAAGCATTATCAAGCCATTCAACAATGCCAATCTATGCTGGGGACTTGCAAGTGACAACACAAACATGATGATAGTCTCCTGTTCCTCCAGCCAAAACTTCTTTTTTGTCCCTGAATCCGGCCGCATCATTCATCTTCCCTCAGGTTCTGTCAACGCTCGTATGCCTCTCTCCCACTATGTGCTGGTCTGCTCTTTCCTAACATTCTGTTCACTCGAACAATTGCAGGAAAATGTGTGGATGACGCTGGTAATGGTAAGTTTTACCTCATCTTTTCTTGAATCCATCAGTTATACAATTCTTGCCTTCAAACCCGTTTGTTGACAATCTGTTTTGCTTGGCTGACCATGTCAGGAGGCCGTAATGTTTACTTGGGTTCATGCCACAACGGTAATAATCAGAAGTTCTTTGTTGACGATAAGGCAAGGATTCACACCAGACGGGATGGAAAATGCATCGACATTAACACAGACAACAACTTGTTTGTGAAAGATTGCAACGATGATGACTCGCAACGATTCATTTATCCAATTTCTTTCAAAACCATTTTGAGCCCAGTGACACCGTACGCAGACCAGACAAAGTGCTGGGATATTGGAGGCATCAACCTCTACCTGCATCCTTGTCACAAGGGCAGAAATCAAGACTTCGTCTACATCCCATCAACTGAACAAATCATGGCTGGTCATGGGTAAGCTTGTGTGAACGGCCTATAGATAAACTTTGTATGATCTTGTTGGCTGCTAATGAGCATTGTCTCTTTCCCTCTTCCCTCCTATCATCTCTCTTGTGCCAAGGACTGGGTGCTTGACTGACGAAAGCTCCGGTGGTCGAAGTGTCTTTTTTGGAACTTGTGGCACAGGCAACAACCAAAAGTGGTACATGGATGCCCAAGGTAGGCTCCACAGCAGGATTGACGAGATCAAGTGCCTTGACTTGAACAAAAGCAACAACAACCTCTACATGGAAGTGTGCAATGACAGCTTCAGTCAGAGGTTTTCCTACCCAAATTCATTCCCTATTGTCACCACAAATGCTCGCACTGCCTACGACAGAAGGCAAGAACTCAACCGCATCTACGGAACAGTCGATCGGCACATCTATGGTTAAGACTCCCGATCGATTATCCGATACAACCATCCCGATCAGGTGAGGAGAAACCTATGCCCCTACTGGGAGAGTTCATTCTCTTTCAATTACACCATGCAGAACTATGCTCTCTCCACAAGTTCTGTGATTGAAGTCAAGTCCACTAGCGACATGGACCAGCTGCTTTTGGACGAAACACGGGGGACATCGGGTGTAACGAAGGTTCTAGTTGTGAAACGTCCGAAGCTACAAACTGGGTATTTCAGGCTTGGTGACTATGCATCAAACAGCAAAGCGGGCCCCGACTCATCTCTGTTGGTCAAGGGAGCTGATGGAACTGTTCTCAAAGAGCCAACAGACTTTGTTTTGGTTTGGAATGGTACCAGTGGCGATGTTGCTACTCCTACTTCAAGTGGGTCGTTTTGGAAGCCTGTTGCCCCAGCTGGGTTCACGTGCCTTGGCCATGTGTGGCAACAAGGTGCCACAAAGCCGGCCACCAACCTAGTGCGCTGCCTTCAAGACAGGTTTGTGGAAAGTGCGCCATCAAGTTTGTTATTTGACAACAACGATGCTGCCTCCAAAGCTAGATCTGAGGTAGATCTAAGTGTCCGGAGCACAGGGTCAACGTCCACAAGTCTCACACCAGGTACCTTTGTTAGCAAGGCTTCACATTCTGCCCCTGCCACGGAGGAATTCAAGTCTCTTAAGAAAGGCTGCATTCTAGGACAGGGCACTTTCCCATTCTGTGATGCTAATGACAGTCTCACTCTTACTGCGGACGCTGCAAAGGACTTCAAAATTCCCTACGCAAAGCTCCAGCCCTGCTACTATGAACATGAAGACCAGGTTGGATATGGGTTGGTGAACGAGGCCAACTCGAAGTGGCAGAATCATGCCATTGAGTTATTCGAGAATCCTGCAGGCTCCCTTGGATACAAGCATGTAGGGGCTTCCACACACCTTGGGGAGCCCTACTGCGTGGGATCAGTCGTGTTTGGTTCATCCAGCATCAGGAATGACCTTTTCATCCATGACATCACCAAGGTTGGAAGTATCACTCAGCAGGAGGCCGAAAACCAGAAGAATGGAGCATTGGGAAGTTACCTGTCCAAATTGATTTCAGGAGACTTTGTGTTTTTGTTTCCATGCTCAGGAACAAACTCAGTCAAGGACTACAAGGCATCTCTGGTGGCCCTTGCCACTTCTGCGAACACCAATGGTGGCAGTGAAAACGGTGTGGTTAATGTTAATGAGAACCTGGGAGAATTGGGACTCTTTGGGGGTTCAAAGTGGACAAGCCCTCACTATTGTGGCATTTCAGAGGAGCCAACAACATCAGGTGGATGCAGGAAAGTCGATGTCTGCTTCTTTGAGCCAGGTGGATGCAAACCATATGACCAGCTACCATGTACTGAGAACACTGACTGCAAAGGAGGGATTTGCAATACAGCAGATAGTCTTTGTGGAGATGTAAGAAGTTTTGTTTTTGATCCCTTGTTCACTGTGCTCAACATGAACTAACTTGCTGCTTATTTCACAGAATTTAAATCTCTATGCAAGCAGTGTTCAGTCAAACTCGAGGCAGACTCTTCAACGTGCTTCCTCCTACGGTATTGGGCAAGATGGGCCAGGAAGATTCCTTGTTCAGGAAGCAGGCAACAGAATCCAGCTGTCTGGCAATGTGTGGAAAGCATTCCCAATTGCGGAGCACACTGTGTCTTACAGATCAGTCTTGGAGTTTGATTTCCGTCTTGTGGACGAAGTTGAGGGACATGCCATTTGTCTTGACGAGGATCTCAATGAAGATGTGGAAATCCAAGGGTCCAAGCGATGCTTTCGGCTTGGTGGCTCTCAGAGTGCCATTTGGAAGGAGGTTTGGAATCTTGACCACCCAGGCAGCACAGGAGAATTCAAGCACTACAAGGTGAAGATTGGATCACTTACTGATGGTGCAGGAAACGACGAGCCTTACATTTCTTGGGGTGCCAAAATCAAGTACATTGGCATCGTTCAAGACAATGATGCGAATGAAAACATTGGGGAGAGCACATTCAAGAACCTGCAACTTTACCATGACAATGCAGTGAGTTTTCACCAATGAACTTGTTTGTTCCAGTTTGAAAATCTGTGCCCCTCTCATGTTGTTCTTTGTCTCCATCGTTAACACTTCAGGCCCCTGTTGAAACAGTTGACCCAGGTCCGTCAATCACAGGAACATCTATCGAAATTGATGTATCCAATCCTGCACGCCATAGTAACTGGAAGGTTGGATGCACAAGGCTTGATGGCAGTGTACCCGACCAGGAGCCGCAAAGTGTCTACAAGTACGACGGCAAGTCATTCAATGCTGGAACGTCAACAAATTTCAAGTACACATTGGATGGTCTCTTATCTGGCTATGAGTACACTGCAAAGGTAATGCTATTCACGTGTTATGGGTCGTTTCGATTCATGGAATACAGTTGACTGAACTTTTCGATTTCACCTTTGGATAGCTGTTCCCCGTGGACAGCAGTGGTAATCAGCTCCAAGGTTCAACTCCACAGGAAACAGTGGCTTCAACATATTGCTGTTGCAACTGCAATTCAATCATTGTCGGTGACACCACCGGAAGGCCAATAGGCTTGAAGGCATATCAAGTCAAAGGTTTTGTTATGTTCAATTTCATTGACAACTCTCTGTGTGCTGAAGCCTACGCCTTTACTCGATCTTCGCTTGAGGACGAGTTCTTTGATAATTCGGATGAAACAAGAAAGAGTGTCTTCACGCCGAACTACAATTACTACCCCAAGAAGAAGTGTGGTGGTGCTCCAGTCTTGCCAGGGAAAGCTGCAGCTGATGATCTGAGGACCTCCTCGCTTGTGGTTGGTGCTGCCTACCGGTACTGTGTCCGCGCAGTTGCTCAGTTCTACTCAGCAGATTCCCCGCACTCCAGTGATGAGAACTGCAACATTCATTTTGTCCGCTGGCAAGCATCCATGTCAGGCAAGGTCACAACAGCCCCTTTGGCCGGCAGCCTACCCATTGAAGACGTTGCTGTTTCATGGGAGTTGTTGAACCCAGAGCTAACTGTTGTCATTGCGTCTGGAAGTGCTGTGACCAAGAGGCCTGGTACTTATTCCATTGAGTTTGATGAGTTGCACAATGAGCTTGATCGTGACAACGAGTTTCCCGTTCGAATCAAGTTTTCCAAGACAACCACTGTTGGCAATGATACTATCACACACCAGTTCCTCTGCAATGAGGGTACGACAGATTGCACCGATGGCACTATTGTGTATCTGAAGCATCTTACCTTTGAGGAACCTGTAGTGTCCTACGACAACTCCTCTGTTCCTGTCCGCGGAAGAGTGACAATTTGGGAGCCCGATGGGTGCCCTGTCATTGGTGCTGAGGTGTGCCTGAAGATTAAGCATACTCAGACTGCTGACACCACAGGTGCCTGCGTCAAAACGGATCACAACGGAGACTACAATGTCCCCGCGGCCATCGGTTCCACGGTTGGCATTGAAGTCTCTTACAACAACCACACTATGAACAAGGCACCTGAGAATTCCCTGGACTACGACAAGGGTGTTTTCATCAATGTCAACAAGCGCTATGTGCGTAATGACTTTGTTGATGTGGCCAAGGCAACACTTGTTGTGGAAGTCGTTGGCGGGCTGTGCAATAAGACCCTTGGTGTCAGTCAACTGGAAGCAACGGTGAATGGGTGTGATCGGACACACTGGAAAATGGACCTGAGCCAGCAATTCTTCAAAGGAGAGCACTGGGTGCCTGCCCATGTTCTTGATCTGAAAGTGGTCGGCATGTCGAATGATGCAAAGAATGACTTCTCAAAGATCCTTGACTTCTTTGCAACAAAAAATATGACAAAGACCATTGACTTGCTAGATGCCGGGGATATGCAGGATGAGACAGATCGTGTCGACTCTAGCAGCAGTGCGACTCCGGAGGAGAAGAGTGCAGGTTCCAAGAGTGAAGAGTCCTATGACAAGGTCCGCTTCCAGTACGATGGTGACCTCGTCATGGACTTCAGGTTCATGGGTGTTGATTTGGCCGAAAGCTGTACCCTGCAAACGGTGAAGCCTCAAGGAACTCTCATTTCTGGTCCAGAAACCACAACGTCATTCCATGTCACAACAACTGGATCAACCTTCCGGCCCAAGGTGTTTTTGAAGTACTCCCTGCTCCCTGACCTCACATGTGACATCCTTTCTGATGAAATTGCCGTGAGAGTCATCAACAAGATTGGAATAGACGCAGACTTTGAAACATATGCATCCACCCTTCAGAGCAAAGCTGTCCTGGTAAACCGCCTCAAGTTGTGTAGCGATGATGGCGGTTGCAACTTCCCGGTGGATCATGATATTATCAATGGGAAGAAGACCAATGCACACATGCTTCCCAGAAAGGAGGATGATACTCTGATCACTTTTGCTGCTGGAAGGCCAAATCTTTACGAGGACTTTAGGAAGGATTTGACTCTTGAAGTCCTTGACAAGAACCTGAAACCCTTGAAGACACACAGAGCCGAAGTTGTTGTCATTGGTGACTATGTCAAAGGTCCAGGAGCGTCTTTTGCTCTACCAACGTACAAGCCCATCTTGGTTCTTCGGGATCCTCCTGGTGGTCTCTCCCAGTCTATCTATGAAAATGTTCAAACTTCCGTCAAAGTCAAATCCTCTACTGTAGAGAGAGTGAAAGATACAACTTTCCACTTCGACAGATCCATTGGAGGAGAAGCTGAGCTTTCCATGTGTGCTGGTTTTGGAGCAATGGCATGCAAAGATGTACTGGAGATTGAAGGTGAATTTGATGTTGGCCTGGGACTAGATTCAAGCACTGTTCAGCAGGATGATGAAGATTCGTACACGTCTGAGTTCACAACAACTTGGAGCTATGCTACCAGTGATGACCCTGTCATGGCAGGCCGAAAATCAGATGTTATTGTCATCCCCAACCTCAACGTCCAGTACCACATTGTTACGACCGTTGCATTCTATGGAGGCACGTCATGCCAAGTCAACACTACTGATACTGTTAAGTTCTCTCTGACTGATCCCGGCAACAAGCCTGCTCTCTCCTTCCTCAGTGTGTACAACATTGAGAATCATCAGTTGCCTGATCTGACCAAGGCAATTGGTGACAAGAAGGCAGAGCATGACAAACTGGCTGCCAACCACCCAAACAAAACCAAGACTAAAACACAACTCAAGGTTTTGGAAGACGCGTTGACAGGCTGGGAACAAACCATGGCAGAATACAATAGTACCAATGAAAAGGCCAGCAAGAACACACTTGACATCGCTGGAAGGGAATGGTTCACAAAATGGGCTTCTACAAAGGACATGATGGAAAAGGAGCCAACCATCACTGATCACAGGTCCAACCTGGCCCCAGAAGTTCTAACTGACCGAACGGAAGCCTTCGACTTTGACTACATCAAGCAGGCGAAACTGGCATCAACTGACAAGGCTGACCTGAAGGAGACGAACAGGATTCAGTTCAGTGGTGGTGGCGGTACCATGGAGTTTGTGGTGGATCATGCAGGTGCCAGTGAATTAATGAGGCTGGACAAAACCCAAAAAAACGGGGCTGAAGCCGATACTGCCACCTTGGAAGGGGAAATGGAAATCTCTGCAGGTGCCAGCTTTGGCGTGGCAATCGGTGGTGGGTTTACATATGAGTCGTCCACCTCAGGGACAGTAACCGATGAAAGTGGCCGCCAGACCACGGTTTCTTTTTTGCTTGGAGACGAACAAGCAAATGATGAGTTTGTGGTGGATATTTATGTTGATCCAACTTTTGGGACCTTTGTTTTCCACACTGTTTCTGGGCGTTCCAGGGCTCCATGGGAGCCAAACACGAAGAAAGGTGAAGATCTAAGCATGTCCATGGTGAGACCCGATAGCCCTGTGATGCCGGATGATGCCATTGTGTTTGATGTGACCCTTTTGAATGCTGGTGAGACCATGGCCGTGTTTCAGGCATATGTTGACCACACAACCAACCCTGGTGGCCTGAGACACTTTATGGGTGGTGTTGGCTTGGAGGTACCCATTGACTACACGCTGGGAGCGCGTTCGGAGATTACGACAAAGGTGGAGATCAGGAGAGGTCCAAACGGCTACAAGTTCCCTTCCACAATTATGTATCTTGTGAGCTTGTGGGATGAGCTTGGCATCGAAGCTGGATCTGTTGAGATATTCAACTTTGTAGATGCGGACAACAAGAAGTGGATTCTGTTTGAAGAACCATGTCCACGAGTAGAATGGGCTGGTTCTCTAAAGAGAGAAAGGAAGGCCTCAGTCATCAAGAATGTTAAGCCCGTTGACCTGACTGTCTTCAATCCTCAAAAGGCTGACGGGACATTTGAAAGCATTGCAAAGAATTCGCGGCTAAGCAATGTGTATGCTTGGTATCGCCAGCTTGGTGATATTGGCGATACCTCTTGGAAGAAGGCTCAACTTGCAGATAAGACACATATTGACTTTGCCAATATTCCGAATGTGAGTTCGTACAAGGAAAGTTCCTACGGGTATTCCAAGATTCCCTGGGACATTGGCACTACCTTGGCTTCCACAGGAGACGGGGCTTACGAGGTGATGGTCGAGAGTGTGTGTGAGACGCTGCCTGGAGCACCTGACGAGTTCAACAAATTTCAATCGGATCTAATAACTTTGGTTGTCGACCGAGTTCAGCCAGAACTTTATGGCAAGGCTCTGCCAATCAGAGATGTGGTGGTTCCTGGGGAAGAGATTGTACTGGTCTTCACAGAGTCCATCCAGTGTGAGCTTCCCTACCGGTTTTTCTTGAATGTGACTGTTGCTGGCCTTGATCCTCCACTGTTCAGTAAGAATTTTTTGCTGTCTCTACTCATGTCATCTTGTTCAAGCATGTTTCAACCTTCCTCACCCTGTTCTTATCTTGATTTACCACTACAGACGAACGAGATTTGAAGATTGACTGTCAGGGCCGAAAACTTGGATTCCAGTTTGACCCAACACAAACTGGTGGCGGCTGGGATGTACTGATGGGCAAAGAAATGACAGTCACAGTGGATCAAATCAAGGATCTGGAAGGCAATGTGCTTCCCAACAAAATCACATTTAAGAAAACACTTGCCAATTTGAACCTCCAAGCAGTGACAAGCACTTTTGACTTCAGGCTGGCCACGTCTAGTTGTACTAGTCCTGTTGATGAAGCCAATGTCAAGAACAAGATTGCAACTGAGCTGGCTCTGAGTGACTCCAGCCGGGTAACAGTTGTCACCTCTTCGTGTGATGGTACAACCACAGTTGCCAAAGTGAAGATCAGCCCAACCGGTGGTCGGCGTCTGCGGAATGAAGAAGAGGAGGATCACAATGCTCTAAGTGCCTTCTATGCCTTGCTCAAGTTGTCTTCTGGTGAGACTGCTTCTGGATCCAGGAAGTTGATTAGCCTGGATGGCGCAGATTATTTCACCTTCTCGGTTGACACCATGGAGCTGGTTCCTGGAGAGGCCGACTTGAAGAAGTATGGCTTGAATGCGGAACTGACACCGGAGGAAGAGATGATCTTGGCAGCTGCCGATGCCTGCGACAGTATTCACTTGGAGCAGAGGCATCAGTTCCTTAAGATGGAGCACAGTGTTAAGGAGCATTTGAACCAAACAGAGAGGATGGCAAAGGAGACTGATGCTCATATCGAGGAGCTCGAAACGCTCCTCGAAGAACTTGACCACAAGATGGAAGGCAAGCTGGATGACATCGTTGCTCATCTTTTGGCAACAAAGACTCAAACTCCTTCTGAGAGCGTTAGACCTGAACATGTCGAACTTCCTGATGAAAAGCAGGACCTGACGGTGCTTTTGGCACAGCTTAGAGAGGAGCAGATGCTATTGGCGCAGCTCCGGGAGGAGCAGATGCAGTCCCGCTTCTGTAACATTGTCCTTGGATTGTCCCTGCTAGTAGGAATGGTGATGTCGCTTTATGCCAGAGCTGGACGTTAGCTCTTGGATGTGATGCTGACAGCGATTCACACAATAGATGCTTTAGTATTTCCTGGGTGTATGTGTGAGTTGGGAATGAATGATAGCAGCAGCTCTCAACCGCAGAGCTCTGGAACGCGGTAGGATCGACTGTGTAGAAAATGGACTACTGGATTATTTGCGAAGTAAATCATCTGCGTAGGAAACTCTGTACATCATTCTGTCTCAGCGTTCAGACAGAGCCGGTGGCTTCCTTGGTGCATGAGTGGCGATCGTTGCAACACGTTCATGGTTGCAACTCGAATCCAATCCATTCTTGGAGTGGAGGAAGACTGCCCACTCGGCCGCACACACAACTCTTCCTCCTGTTTCCACTCGCAACAACCAACTCACTGCAAGTCAATGAAGTCCAGACTATCGCTCTCATGATGCTTGCATCACAGAGCAAGCTACAGCCAGGTGTTGCGATGAACAAACAGTTTCATCCCAGTCTAATTGAGATAGCAAGCCAGGTTCCAGATTTCTACGATTTTCTATCTGTCCTATTAAACATCAAGTATCAGTCTTCGATTACAGTTCGTCTACTGTGACTGGATGTTTCATATGTTCTGGGTTTGTTGACACACGGTGATGGAACTAAGAACGTTGGGATCCATGGCTATTGGGATAAATGGCTACACTTGTAAACAAGCAGCACTAAGTTGGATGTGCTGCACAGGTGGCGCTTGTCGTCCTGACGGTATCGGCTGGTGGGCAATGCGGCTGCCGCTGGGGCCATTTAGGTTGGTTTTATTCGTTCTAACGGTAATAGTACTGGTAAATTATAGATACATGTAGCACGAAATGATAAGTTGAAGATTGTGCCGTTGGGCGAGGGTCGGTTGCCTGAAGTACAATCATGGTGGGGTAGGCCGAGAAAACGCATATGTGTTCTGCTTCGCCATAGACTGGGGCGGTCGACCAACTTATTTTCCTCGTCGTATCCAGTGGTTGCCGCCGGCTTGAGGAGATCAACCATGCGGGAACAGAGACGGGCAATGGGAGGATATATTCCCCATACCTCAAATTATCATTGACTCGTGTATTAAACATCTAGTCCAGTTCGCATGCATATTCATGATGCAGGAACCAAGGGAGTTTTAGGTCTAAAGTGTTGCGGGGGTCCTTATATCCAATTCAATCACAAGAATTGCTATGCACCACCAGTAAATCCTCACTTTTGCTTTTCAGCTTAACCAAAAACCAAATTACCCCTCAATAAGCTGCAGTGCTAGCCTTTTAGCTAGACAAACAACACTGAAAAGGGATTCCTGGACTTCAGGTACGCACCGTACTGCCAGTTCTTCCGGAGGAGCAGATGCTGTTCGTGTTTCGCAGTTTCACATCCTAATCACGTGATAATCTATTTTTAAGAGCCGTCCATCAAGGCCCTGACTATTCCATTCGAGTGCGACTTCCCCTAGAAATTTTACATTTGTTTGCTGCGAACAAAGCCATCTTTTTTGGAGGCGCTGGCGGCCTTGCTGATCTTCTTTTTCCTCAGGGAACGAGGCGGCGGCGAGGCAAAGTTGGTTGCAGATCCATCTCATGGGTCTCGACTGTCGCCTGCTGACCAAACACTTTCACCTGTCGTGATGATGCCCCTGGAGTTAAACGCAACGGCCAATGTGCCAAATTCAGCAGCAACGGTAGTTTTCCAAAGGGAATATTCAGATAGTTTTTGCCTTGGAACCCATGTCTCATGTTCCATTTCCACACCAGATGCAATACAAGAATGGCGCAAACCGCTGCTGACGGTTCTGCTGCATCGAGTGGATCGTTACCGCGCTCCTGGTCCTGTTCGGGAGGTGTGGCCCCAAAATCGTAGCAAAAGATGAGGGCATGGTGGTTGTCGAGGCATGTCAATTTGAATGCAGCGAGTTCCCCGACCAGTGACAGAGTCAGCGCCGGATCCAACATTGCTCAAATTGTAGAACAAGATGATTGTTTTCCCTCTGGGGCGGACCCATGTATCCACGCAAAGAATCCTATTGCGTGTCGCCGCAACCAAATGAAGACAATGAGGCACCAGCGTCTTCTCCTTCGCAACCAGTAGATCTCCTTGGTGTGCCCAATGCAGATGATTCGTCAATGCCTGCCCTGGACTCTGGAGACTCCGACTTCGTACCTGTCGCCCAGGACATCCCAAAGTTCGAAGAGAGCGATGCCTACCAGTACATCGAAAGTGACACCACAGGGTACCACACCTTCGTCCTACAAGTGCAGTGCGATGAACCCTTCGACTACTGGGCACGATGCAAGGTCTCCTTTGCCATGGAGAAACTATTGGAGCCACCTACTTCTCCACGCCCGACCATGTTGCCGCCATACCAACAGGTCCAACAATCCGAGGATACCATCTTGTCACGTCAACGACAAGCTGCTGCTGAGCATAAGCAACAGCTCATGGACAATCTCCCTGCCGAAGAGGCACCAGTTGCTGCCGCCCCTGCAGCTGATCCTGATTCTTTGGTGTTTGACGTCTCCCAACTTCAGTTGGACCCAGCTACTAGTTTCGGACAAGAAGTTGGTACCGACCTCAGCTTTGCCACGTCCAAGGCTGATGACATCGGCGAAGATACCTCCATGAGTTACATCCGTGGGACCCATGGACTTCGTAAGCAAAGCTGTCCAGAAATGCAAGGTACTCACGCAAACAACTGCTGTACTCGCACCCAAACATCTGACAACTACAACACCAAACTCCTCTGGATTCGTGTCGAGCAGCAGCACGCCTGGGCAACCCCCCGTCTGAGTTTCCACGCCCAGCAGCGTGGAAACTTGAACCCTGATGGGTTCTCGCAACATCTAAGAAGCGCATAATGGGGTCTCGCGAAAACAGCGAGGTCTGGAAGGTACCGAACGACATGCGTCCCTAGGCGATTGGTGACGTCATTGCTCCCGGATTTGGATGGTGTTTGTTGTGGAACATGTACTGGTTCTCCATTGGGTGTGGCAGTATGCACCGTTTTGGAACCCTGCATGCATCCTAAATTCCCAACCCATAGGTACCGACCAATTTTGTGGTCCCGTTTTGTCCCCTATGCCATACCAATGAACATGAAACTACATACAGAATCCGGTACAGAGCGGTTTGGGGGTTAGCTTTTGGTAACCACACTCACATTTTGTAAGTCGTGTAGACTTTGCCTAAGTATTACAGTTCCTTTATAGGGCTAGCGATCGGCAATTACTACTAGCTAGCTACTACTACTAGTTGTATCATGGGTTATTGGTTTGCGACTACTGTAAAGCTTGTTTGAAAGCAAGAGGGCACTAAGTGCTCACACCAACCAATCTCGGAGTTGCATTGCAGCAAGGCAGAATGCACTTGGCATTGGCAAAGCAACAAGAAGTACTAGTACTAGGAGAAAAAGGGACAGACTACTGCAGGGCTTGGTGCACTGACACTGGAAGACCCGCTAAAGCACGACGGCAAGTTAGAAGATCTGCAGGAGAGAGAGAGGCACATCAAGTCAAAGCCAGCCATTCCACAAGACATGGTGGAGGAAGATCAAATTGCTTGGGCCATGCAAGAGGTGGTGGTATTGGTTCTGAAGCGAGGAAGACAATAGAAAACCAGCAGCTGACCCGCGGTTTGGTACCGAGATGACGGCAATGAGGAAGCAAAAGAGGAGGCAGATGAGGAAGCATAGAGGAAACTGATGAGGAAGGAAGTGACGACGATCGAAGAAGACACAGATGAGATGATAGTAATGAAGATAGATGATGAGACCAGCAGTGGTGGATCAACAGCTACCCTGGTACAAATTCCCAAGGAATGGAACCATGACAATGAACCTCCAGACGATAGGAACAACAACCAATTCCGGCAATATTGTGCAGATTCAAAGAAGACGTTCCTCCCCTTGGATAAGAAACAGGCTCGGGGTGTCAAATTGATGGATATCCTTCGAAAGAACAAGGGCCTTTGACTGCGTATGATGATGTGTTGACATGGCACTTGGATGAAACTGGAGCCGATTGGGTGACGAGAAGCTTGGTGAGGTTCCGGAGTACTTGGCCGGAAAAAGTTGATGAGCTTCCTCATGACAAGATACAACATGGGTGGCAAATTCCCTTTCACAAAAGACCTTGTGCTTCCACATTCAGGTGCTAACATCAAGGTGGTGTGCACGATGCTCGCCATTGTGTGTGGCAATTGCTTGCCGATCCACGCCTCAAGGACGACGATTTCTGCTTTTTCGATAACGATCCACTAGCTCCACCACTAAAACGAGTACCAAAATCAGTCAGTTGAACACTGGTGAGGCGTACCGCAATTGTTACAAAGGCATACGTTACCAATCCCGAAAGCAAATGGGAATCGGCATCCAATGGTATATTGATGGGCAGTGACTGGCCAGTTCCAAAACCTTTCGATAACTGCGCTGAAGATGTCTCTCTCTTGTTTCTCCCTGGAATATCGAAGGAAGGATCAGGCATGGGCAACTCTTGGATATGTTGTCAACTACTCGGCAGGCAAATCACAAGGAAAGAAGATATTTGCCGACTCAAACCATGATCAAGCAGTTCTGGATTTCCTGAATTTTGAAGGTTTACTTCCCAATGAGGGGGTAGACGAACAAAAGTCGTGAAGGCACAGGACTTCCATTACCAACTTGATACCATCTTGCACTCTTACGTAACCATCCAAACAACTGGGATGATATGGGATCTCCATTACAGAGGAAAGCTCTACCAAACCTCGAGCTTGTGTTTTTACTGTCATGGTGAGGGTCGATACCGATGAGGCCGAGGTGCTCTGTGTGAAAGTATAGAAGCCGGTTGGCAATGTTAAGATGATTTGTCGATACTGCAACGTTCCAACTCTTGACTGGACAACCACGTTGATACTTACACAGCAAAGACACTGACAAACATCCAAGAACTCATCGACGCCAAGGACAAGAAAGGATTGCAGCAATTTCCCAGCATCTGATTGACAATGCATGGAATAAGGTCAGATTCGATCCCAAGTACGATACTGGGAATCCATGGTGCTTGCCCCTCTGAGATGCTCCACGCCATGTTGTTGGGTATCTTTTTGTATACGAGAGAGAGCTTCTTTGCCACAGATTGGCCCAACCTAGCAGGAGCAAGGGATTGATGCATTGCAATCACAATATGGGCATACTCTTCTCCCATAATCTGAACGGAGACCCAGGATGCAGAGTATCACCCATGGAATCAGGCAGAAGAAGAAGCTGAATGGCAACGAGTACCGTGGCGTTTGCTAACTGCACGCTGCTGTATTGAGATTCACCAAGGGTATCGAAATACTAAGGAAAAGCCAACATTCGAGACACCACAGCTCCGAAAGGACTGTTTGAGGCTGGGATGCTCGTGGAAGGGAGGCAATATCCTGAATGAACAGAATGGATGTAAAAAGTCAAGGCTTGAAGAAGAGAAACATCGCTTCTCATGTATACCTATTTGAAGAAAGTTGTGAGGAGAGCAACAGGAATGGGTTTGAAATTGATTAAGTTTCACACGATAATGCACATGGCAAATGATATCCTTTTGTATGGCGTACCTAAGGAACACGACACTGAATCTAATGAAAGTGGCCACAAAGTGACCAAAGTGGCAGCACGGCTCACCCCAAAGAACATGGCAACCTTAGAATTGCAGACAGCTACCCGGGTGCTTGAATTTATGGTCATTCAGTGGGCAATGGTTGAGCTGGATGGTCTTCGAGTGTGGGAGTACTATGGAGATTACGATCCAATGGGTGTCGATGATTATGGTGCGAGGCAGAGGATGAGGACGAGGACCCGGATAATAATGATGCAAATGCAGAGAAACAGCAAGGTGGTGATGCAGCGAATGACAAAGGTAGCGACGGAGACTCGATGATAGTGATGCCAATGCAGATAGAGAGGAAGATAGTGATGGAGAGGAATCGGAGCCGAATGCAAATAGGGAGGAAAATAGTGATGGAGAGGAATCGGAGCCGAATACAGATAGGGAGGAAGATAATGATGGAGAAGAATCGGAGCCGAATGAAGATAGGAAGGAAGGTAGCGATGGAGATGAATCAGAGCCGAATGTAGGTAGGAAGGAGTAGTGGATGGAGATGAATCGCAGCAAAAACCTGGACCGGGCAGAATGTTGGAGGTTTACTGGGCCAGTGAAGAAACAAGAGCAATTGTTTTCAAGGGACGGACTAAAACAGAAAAAAGGAGTCCAGATTTGGAAACTGAGAGGTACAGTCAGGAGGTTGGGGAGTTTCTCTTGGAGCTGCAGGACAAAGTGAAAGACACATTGAAATATCTCTCTC